ATGTTCCGGAAATACTGCGTCCTTTAAACATATATAAAATTAAAGCTTATTTTATGTACTATAAAATAAAATAAAAAATTTTGTCCCGACATCTTATCTACTATGTGCAAATTGCTGTCGACATTTTAAAAAAAATTTAATATTTGCGATAAAAATCACATTCTATAAGGATGTTTATTGTACTTAAAACTGCCATAAATTTTTCAAATATTAGCAAATCAAAATATTATTTTTTTATATTGAAACCTTAGGTAATTTCCTTTCGTTTGATATCATTTTTTTTGAAAATCTAAAATTTAATCTGCTCACAAAGGGGATTTAAAATAGCAACTTTTTTACAAAAACTAACTTTTTCAACTTAATTTTTGAAAATGTTCCCGTAATACTGCGTCCCTTAAACATATATCAAATTAAAGCTTATTTTATATACTATAAAATAAAAAAAAAAATTTGTCCCGACGACCTATCTTCTATGCGAAAATGGCTACCGTATTCAAAAATATGCTATTTTAATATTAAGGTTAATGTTGCTTTTGTAATTATCCATCAATTTCTTAGAATTAAACACTATCTACAGATTTGCATCGAAGCGTTTCTTATGATAGTGATTTTAATCACTGTCAGATTAAATCTATGCGTCCTCACTATGCCGCGACCCCACTGTGCTGTTTTTAACTAAACACTATCTAAAGATTTGCATTAAAGCATTCTTTTTTTGATAGTGATTTTAATCACTGTTAGATATCATTATACTTGATCAAACTATGCCATGTCACCATTGTGCCGCGACCCTCCTGTGCCAAGTTATTTTTTTTTTAAATGTATTTGTTCAATTATAATACTTTTCAGTCTTTTAAGTGTTTAAAATTTCAATAAATTAAATTAGAAGTTAATAACAAATTACCAAGCTTTAGTCATGAAACATAATACATGTTAAATGTTTAGATTCACTAGCTTTATTTTTTAATTCTACACTATTTATTCAGTGATGTTAACAAAAAGTAAACTTAGAAAAATCAATAAATAAATGCTAATTTTTTATAAAAGTATATATTAATAACACACTAGTTTATAGAATGATTTTTTTTTTTTTTTTTTTTTTTTATGATTCAAATAAATAATATTAATTAAGAAAAAAAATAGTTTTTTTTTTTGTACATTTTATTATAATTATAATGTTAACTAAAACTTTTGATTGGTGTTGAATATTTTTGAAGAAATGTTTATTATAATGAAAAAGTTTAATTCGGTTTTAAACTTAAAATATAAATTTTGAATACTATATACTACTTTATGTTAATATTTTAAAATGTGTTTAGCAAAGTTAAAATTTCAGTTCTATGCTCATTAAATTTTGTTACAATTTATAAGATAATAACTACGATGACATAATATTTTTAAATATTATTATATACAGGTTGATAGGTTTATCATAAACCACTTGATTACTTGCACAATAAATATTAATAAAAAAATTTTAATTACTTTTAGTTACATATAATTCTTGATTTATTAGCTAATAATTACTTTTTAGAATCATTCCTTATAAATTAATGGGGTGTTAACTTAATTTTTTTAAATAGTAACATACATGTTTAAACAACTTAAAAAATAGAAAATTATCTAATTAAAAAAATGACTGGTCAATAACAACTTTGAAACCAGTATGTCATATCAAGTTTATACAGTATAAACAATTATAGTGTTAATTGGAGATGAAGAGTGGATGCTTCTATTTTTATCATTACTAATTTCCTGTCCATAATCTTAGTTTTCCCTAAGTATAAAAATGAGAATAATATCCAAAATACTGATCCAAAAGTTGTTATTGACCAGTTATTTTCTCAATTAATTAATTTTTTATTTTATAAGTTAGCATTAGCATATATTAGCATTTACCAAAATAAGTTGAAATCCTTATACGTTATAAGGGTCATCCTAAAAAGTAATTAATAGCTAATAAATTTAGAAGTTTATGTAACTAAAAAAAATAAAAAATTTTCTTTCCAATATTGTACTTATAATAAGAGTAATCAAGTGGTTAATGATAAACCGTTCACCTGTATACATAAAATACAACAGTCAAATGATTTTTTATACATTTATTGTACTAGCGACCTATCAGGAAAACCTTAGTTGGCGACTCTAAACTTGGGCTGGCAAGGAAAAAATTGAATTGTTAAAATTTTTCATTTTANTAAACTTGGGCTGGCAAGGAAAAAATCGAATTGTTAAAATTTTTCATTTTAGAATTATTTTATAAAATTAAGTTGCAAAACTAAAAATTATCAAAGATTCATAACTTAAATATATGGTTAGGTTGATTTGTTTCAGTTATTGACTGATACTAGTATAAAGTCTTGGTGGAGTGTAATTTCTTAATGCGGCTTTGGTTTTACCATAATTTAAAAAAAACTGTAATAAAGGGCAATGACCCAAAGATTTACAATTGTCATAAAACAGTCAATGTTTATATTTTTAGTTTGCACTGTCTATTGAAATAATATTTTCATAGAATGGACGGTTCATTGAAAAATAATTAAATTTTATTTTATATTATAACCTAGAGATAATGTGTCTTCAAAATTAATAATTATTGATAACTTAAAACATTATACTTTATTTTATAAAACAAATAGTGTACCTTTGTATTTTGTATACCTTATTTTCTAAATGGATGCTCATTTTTTTAAGTATTATTGGGTGTTAAGCTTATGAGAATATAGAAAATTAACTTTGATAACATTTAAAGTAATATATCTTATTATATTTTTCATATAGGCTGATAAAATATATGGATTATATCAAGGTGGCCCTAGATTAAAATTAAAGGCATCTCTTTGCTTAAAATGTGTAAGAAATAAGTGTGCTTTATTGTACACTAAAGCACTTACTTCTGAACAAAACAAAATCATAAATATGAATTTACAAAGTTGGAATCCTCATCATTTTCCTGAGTAAGTCTTATTTAGTGTACTATTATATTATATTTTCTGTTATATATTATATTAATCCTACGTTTTAAGTTATTTAATTTTAATTAATAATAGAATTTCAATTGTGATTGTACTCATATAATGTCTATAATCTGAGTGTTAAATTTTAGTCTACTTGATCATACCAACAAAATTTTAAAGTGAAAAATTGAATCTACAAGTTCTTTAAAAGTATTAATTAGTTTTTATTTAAAATTAATCGGTAAAACCTGACATTTTTTATTTAGTTCAATTTTAGCTTTGATGCAAAGCTGAGAAGGTGTCAATTAATTTTGATGTGTTTATTATTATTTTTTTTGTATGTCACCACTTTTTTTCAGCTCTCGCTGGATTAATTTTTTTCAATAATATGTCAAAAGATTCCATATGGTATATAATTTAATATATGTTTAAACATATGTTAAATTAAAGGTTATGTAACATACATTAATTTAAAAAAATGAAAATTGTCTCAACGACCTATGTTTTTGTGCAAATTGTCATCAAAATTGAAAAAAAAATTTATTTTCGTGTAAAAAATCATCTTTTATCATTGTTATTTTGGTACTCAAAGCTACTATAACTTTTTGAAATTAACATACCAAAATAACATTTTTTGTTTACATTTTCCCCTTTCATGTGATATACATTTTTTGAAAAACAAACACTTTACCAGCCTATAGCGGGATTTTAAACAGAAACTTTTGCACAAAAAGTTAGGATCAAACCCAACGTATTTTTAATTAAAAAATATTTTTTGACATTAAAATATAACTTTATAATTAAAAAATATTTTTAAATTAATTTTTTTTTTTAATTTTGTACATTTTCAGTCATAAAAAAGGGGGGGATCCCAACTTCAAAAAAATTCAATATGAAATTATCTTTGTATAAATTTTTTTTTTATAAATTTGTATAAAAGAAATTTTTAAGTCAATTTTTTTCTCTTGAATTCATATTCAATACATGTTAAAATTGTCATATTTCAATCGATTGGGTTTAATTATTGCTTATCTTTTTGTTTTGATATTATGTTTGTTAATTTTATNTTATAAAAGTTACATGAATCTAACATTGAATATAAAGCTAAACTTATTTTAAATATTTTGCTTTCCCTAAGTTAAGAAAATTGACTTTGAATTTATGAACTAGCATAAATTGTTCATTTTAGCTACCAATATATGCAATGTACGGTTGCCGAGTTGGTAATCCTATAGTCTTACACGCTGGAGGTTCAAACCCCGCCCGTTAAAATAACTTTTTGCACTTTTTATTGAAACTTTTTTTGAGATGAAAAAATTTTTTAATGTGTTTGATTTTTATCTCATGTAGATTGATTAACTTCAATGAATTTCAAAGACCTCACACTGTAGTCTCTCCTTGTGAGAAGAAATTTTGTATTTATATTAAAATTATTTTACAAAGTGGTTTTTTTTGTGTCATTCATTTTTTTTAGCTATCACTTGACCAATTTTTTTTAATGATACGTCAAATGATCATAACTAGTATCTAGTTAAAGATATTACCCTCAATAGGTGTGAAAAAATTTCCCCTTTATCAAATAAAAAGGTACTTAGCCCACATACTCTATATAGACAATTAAAGTAATTCATATCTAATGTTTTTAAAATATGTATTGTCAATTTATATTTTAAAAATTGATAATTTGTGGCTAATGTTATTTAAAATTAATTTTGATATTATAATAGCTTTCAACTACAAAGTTAAATAATTTTACTTCATTATTTATTAATTTCTTAATTGTGTGTTTTACTACCAGTCTATATCTTATTATATAATAGAACTAAGAAAAGAACACTTTTCTAGGAAATTTATTTTGCGATTTTCAAAAAAAAATTTCTCAATGAATGTACTAAGAAAATTAATTAGGAGAAAATATAGGAAAATTAATTCAATTTGTTCATTTTTTACCGTTCTACAACCTTTGTCTTTTTAAGTTCACACGCATTTTTTGAAAAAAGGTATTTTTTTTACTATTATCTTAAATAATAAGAATGTTTTGAAAATAAGATAATTTTACAATTATCTTATTTTTGCGCATATATATATTTTGACTCTGAATTTGTATAAAAGAAATTTTTAAGTCAATTTTTTTCTCTTGAATTCATATTCAATACATGTTAAAATTGTCATATTTCAATCGATTGGGTTTAATTATTGCTTATCTTTTTGTTTTGATATTATGTTTGTTAATTTTATATATTATGTTTAATTTATTAAATATGCAGATATTATCTATCAATTTTGTTTTAAATATATAACATAAAATTTGTTGATATATTTAATCAAGTTTATAGTTATAAATATATATAACTTTTATTGGAACTTTGGCTTTACAATCAGTGTACTGCTCAAATGTACTTTTTTCCTTTGAATTTTTTTTTTCCACGCAGAGTTTATATTAGGATATGATTTTGCATTTGTGCATAGCAATATATTTTGTATATCATCAAGGAATGTTTGATAAGTTATGTATAAATTTCAGCACGGTTATAAGTATATAAGTTTTTACATACATTATCAGAACAGTACAGTATTAATAATCTTATTTATCTCATATATGATGTATAAATCTATAAGTTTATCGTAAAAATTAGGATCCTTCTATGACTACTATGTTGTCCAATGTGAAATCACAGTAACCATTATTCTTTTCAAAATTGACTTTTTTACATAGTCCCAGGAATAAAAACCTTAATAATAAAACATTTTTTTTTTTTTTTTTGTGAGCATTTTATAATATTAATACAGTTATTATAATTATAATTTTATTAATTAGTGTGTATATTAGCTACTAGTAGCTTATAAACTGCAATTTCAATTTCATTGCAGAAATAATAATATATATATATAAAGGTTAGAATAATCAAATTAAGGAAGTTAACTTTCTTTTATTTTTCTTTGATAAATCTATATATAAAATTTAGATACGTATAATTAACAAAATATGCAATTATAAGTTTTTATAATTTTTCCATAAAAATTAAAGTACTAAATTATTAATATGTAAATAGTAAATCATAATACCTGTAGTCAGGATATAGTTAAGGAAATAGGAGTTGCTTTTGGAATAATTATAAAAATTCTTTTAAACAATAATATTCTACAGATTTGCATCAAAGCATTTTTTATGATTGTGACTGTAATTGCTGTCAGATATATATGTATTTGATCCAACTATGCCGTATTTTCACTGTGCTGTTGGGTTTTTTTTTATTAGAATTTCACAGCATTACAAGATGATTAATTAAATATATCTTACGCAAAATCTTTATAAAAATAAAACATTTATTTTTTTTTCTGTTCAGACATTAAAAGTATTCTATGTATTAAAATAAAAAAAAAAAATAATTGGTACTCTCCTACCTCTCTCCATGTTTAAAGAAGCATCAACTTACGTTTTTTAAATGGAAACATATATTTAATTTGCTTATAAATAAAAAAATATCTATTATAAAATGACTAGACGATTACAACTTTTGAACCAGTATATTGAAATATAGCACTTTTATACAATGATCAAGTAGAAATCATTAATGTGCTTGTATATGCATAAAGATAAATAGACTCAATTTATTTTTTCCACCATTTTACAAAAGTGCTATATCTTAAAATACTGATTCAAAAATTGTAATCGTGTAGTCATTTTTTTAACTAGATCATTTTTTTATTTTTAAGCTAATTAAATATATATATTTCCATTTAATAAATTTAAGTTGATATTACTTTAAAGGTGTTGGAAACAATTAATTTTTTTTTTGAAAATTAAAAAAGATAGGACAGTTTTAACTTTAGAGAAGAAGATTTTGGGCGAGATATAGTTAATCAACTTGTATAAATTATTTTAATTTTTATTTGTAAGTTACTATTTAATATTTGTTAAATAAATTTTGATATTTTGAAATAATTTGAACACTAATAATATTAAGTAACAAATAGAAAAATAGTTTTTTTATTTATAGGAAAATAAAAAGTGATTAATATTTGTTTACATTTTTTATTATTACCTTATATAAATTATGTTATTTCAGTATATTCCATTTCTTCCTTTATAAACATTGCTCTTAGTATTCCTCTTCTTACTTCATTTTTTATTTAATAGTTATTTCTTTTTAAGGATTAAATATTTTTATTTGATTTGAAATATAATAAAGTACATGATTTATTCAATTTATATTTATATATATATATATATATTTTTTTTTATTTGGAATGGTATAATCTTTAATCATTTTGATTACAATAAGCAAAATTAAATAATTTATATTTAAAATTTGTAAATTATATAATAAATTAAAAAGTTAATTAGACTAATTAACCCAAAAAATAATCAAAATTTCTCATATAAATATTTAGTATTTATTTTATTACTTATTTATGTGATCACTTACAAAAAAATATTAAGTATCAATTTTGACTCTTAATATTTTAACTATATAAAGTTATAATTGAAAAATTTTTGTCACTTTCAAGCTAAAAGTAGTTAGGTGTTTTTTGTGCATTTTACTTATATTATAATTTTTTACATTAAGGTGTTTTTGACTTGCAAACAATAAAATACTTTAAAAATTAAAATTATGTACAAAAAAATTTTTTTTTTTAGAAATGAAAAAAGTTATTGGGTGGGTAAAGACTCATTAAAAAGTTGGAGGCGTATGTATTTACAATTATTTGAGTATTTTGTTAATGATCGGGATGTACCGTCAAATATAACCTTGCCACTTCATCCAGATATGCTATCAGTAGCTTTTGATTCTAGTAGTAACAATATTAGTACAAAAAATAATGTAATATCTAGCAGTAATAATAGTTCTTATGAAATGGGTGGAATAACAATTGACTCATTAGACAAGTGTCTAAAATTAGCACGGATATTTGTGAATAATTCTGAAATAATTTTTAAAACTTTACAACTAAATGACTTCAAACCTTTCCACTATTCATTACTTGAATTAGAAAAAATACTGTTGCAAATGATGAACATATTGTCAACTGTTATTGCCAAAAAAGTAAATGGTGGCATTTCTGCTGAAAAAGGCAAGTATGATGTTTGCAATAATGTAACAACATCAACCAATTTTTTTCAACAAAAAATTGAAAATAATACAAACTTTGAAGATGAAGATAGATTAGACATTGAAGATTTAAATCATGAAGAAAAAGAAAAACTTGATGATTCTGATTTCCTAGATGTTAAAAATGACAAAGAATGTATATTCTGGGTGTTCAATGAAGACATAATGTGTACTCATGGTAACAATTTTTGTACATTAAGATAAAATTTGTATTATAACATTTGCTGTAAATTACAGTGCAAACAACTTTAATTGCTATAGTTGAGAGGTCTTTAAATGTTACTTCTTTTTCAAAATTTTTGTTTTTATATTTTAAAGTGAAACAGCGTAGTGAAATAACTAAATATAATTAAATTATTTTAAGTTTTTCTTTAACAACTTTCATATTTATTAACTATATATCAGATTTTAAATTATTATTATAATTAGGATTTGTCAGAAATACATTTTTAAATCTAAACTATAGTGTTTTTATATTGAAAAAAAATTGTATTCAATATTTATTTATTTTGGTCATTTTTTCATACTATTTAAATTTATTTTATCGATTTTCAATTAAAAACACATTATTATTATTGAAAAAAAATGTTTTATTTGCTATAATTAAGTTGGAAAAGAGGTAAAAATAAAGAGGTCGTGATACTATAGTTTGATTTAAAACATTCATATATCTATGATAATACAATTACTTTTTCTAATATCCTTGAAAAATTATTCTATGGGGTAGTTACCATATTAATATGATAGTAAAAAAAAGTTTTGATCTATCTAAGTTGAAAAAACATCCAGATAATGCCATAATGTTATGGAAAATATTGGATAAGAGAAAAAATCGTTGTAAGGGATTCTAAATTTCTAAATATTGTATTATGTAGTGATATACTGTATGTTTTTATTATTTATAAATTATTAATATTTTAAGATTATTTTAATGAATTGTATTTTATTATTTATAATATTAAATTACTGCAAAGTTTTGTCTAAAAATTATATTTCCTAAATATTTACTTTAAAGAAACTCATTTCAAATGTTTATATTTTTAGGTAATTTATCTATTGAACAAAATACAATGCGATTAATTCCAAAATCTGTTTGGGAAATTCTTTATTCTTATTTCCCTAAAGCTCCAGTATTTACAAAAGATACTGAACCATGTCGTTTTTGCCGGGTAATTTTTATACATTTTATCTTTTTATAGTGATATGAATTATATACATTTGAATATTACTAACAATAATTATACTTCATTTAATATTTTAGAGTATGCGAAACCAAGGTGAAATAACAAAAAACATACATAAACAATCAGCATTATCTGAAAAAGAATTATTAAATGATTTATTATTAAATAAAAAAAGACCATCATCTTCCTTAGATAATTCTCCTTTTCCTTGTATTTCCAAAGAATTTTTAGAAAGTTGGAGAAGGTTTATCAGGTAATTTTTTTGCTATTGCTTTTTTACAAACATTATGTAAAGTTATAATTTTAACGAAACGATGTTATGTTATTATATTTATATTTGAAAAAAAAAGAATAACTTGTTTCAACATAAACATAGCTTGAACATTTTTCTATGGGTCTGTAGACACATATTTTTTTCATTAATTTTGATAAATAACTTGTCGGGAGGCTTCTCTACTATATTTCTTTACCTCCTCTAATCCTTCATAAAATGAAATTCAGTCCATTTGTAGGGGCTTCAAATTATTCTATGGGAACTGAAGCCTTTACAACCTCCATGTAAACTACACAAATGTATATCAAGTATTAATATATCTATTATTAAATATTTAACAAAAAAAGAACAGAATTAATTGAATTTTATTTAAATAACATAATATTTGGGTATGATTTAGGTAAATGGCTAATGGGGGAATTCAAAATCTCCATCACAACATTTTTTTACGCGTAATGTAATTATACTAAAATTAGTAGAGAGAAAATTTACAGAAACGTCATTTGCAGGAGTATTCATTTTAGTACTTTAAATTATATACTTGGCCTCTAAGGTATAGCCAGTGTTGTTTAGTAGTCACTTAACTTGAATTACAAGTTAATAATAAAGAAACTATTTATAAATTAGTTTTTATGTAATTAAATTACTAAAATAAAAAGTAATCTAATTTTAATTTTAATTAATTATTTGAAGGTAATATTTAAAAATTAATCATTACATTATTTTAAAAGTTTGCACCGTCCTCAATTGGCTTATTTAGAATATTATACTTGAGGTTTAATATAAAAAAAAATTCTTCCTCCTTGGGAGTGGTTTTTTTTTCTCAGAAATTTCCCTTGTAAATATACCTCAAGATAATAATTAAGACTCAAGTAATACTATTCAATTAAATTATGTTTATTATAATATATTTTATATTAATTTCACTCTTATATTTTTATTTTATAATTTAATTAAATAAATGGGAAGAAATCAATAGTGTATTTAGAGAGAGCATAATGGCATGTCAAAGATTACAAATAGTATCTAGTTGAAGATATGGCCCTTAACATTTTTTAAAATGGCCTCCATTTTTTATATAAGGTGGAAATCCTTAAAAAAAAATTACGATTTTTAAATTCAGTAGATTTTGATATTTTTATCTTATTTTTTTATTTAAAACAGTCACTTTTTGAAAAATGAACAAATTAAAATGTTTTTGTTATTAATTATTTATAATAAAAAAAATAATGATTTTTTGCTATCGATAAATGACAGAATATTTATTTTATTTACTCATATTATATTTAAATATAATATACGTATGTCCAATACGTGCATTGTGCGACGAACTGTTATTTGATAATTACGGTGTTATATAAGCGGTGTCGCTTCGTTATATATTGTATCGTGGGCATTCTAGAAATTTTACTTTAGAATGTTCGAGAACCTTCGTGCGTTATTGCATTATGTGTTGCCTATCCGTCACGAAGATTCTATATTATTTCATAATCACTACAAAATTAATTTTTTTTTTATACAAATACCTTAACAATTTCTGTTTCATTTGATATAAATTTCAAAAAAACTGATTCTTTACCTACCTACAAAGAGGGCATGCAAAAAATCAACTTTTGAATAAAAAGTTAACTTTTTCAAATTAATGTTTGATAATGTTCTGAAAATACTGGATCTTTTAATCATATGTCAATTAAAGTTTATGCTACGTACTATAAATTACGACTAGTTATTTTCGTAATTAGATCATTTTTTATTATATTAGTTATTTAAATATGTTGCCAGTTAAAAATGACAAAATGTGACAATCGACTAGATGATAACATCACTTAGTGATGAGGGATATATAAGGGAGTATTTTTCGGAAGGGGTGTCAGTATGTGTTAGGTAATGGTAACATTGTTCCCGAAATATGTTTCTGCAATTTTTTAGTAATTTTTGTGGCTTTTTGAGTTAAATATTTTTATATTCTTTAGTTTAAAATTAATTTTTAAAACTATATAACAATATTAGATGTTTTATATTAAAAAGGAAATGTTGACCTCTGGACTTGTCTTCTATGTACTAACGTGCATTGAGTTAACTGTGGAAATGCAACAAAGTTGGGAAAAGTATAGATATCTGATAGTGATTAAATTCACTATCATAAAAAACGCTTCAATGCAAATAGATGTAGATTATGTTTAATTTTTAGAAGAAATTGTTGGATTCTTATAAAACAACACCAACTCTTATTTTTTTTAATTATATCCTGATTATAAGTTTTATGATCTACAAGTATATCACATGAATATGCATGAATACTTATTATAGTAATGAAATTTAGTATGCAATTTATATTCAATAATTTAGTATTAATATTTATTTAGCCATTTCAGTTTCAACGCAATATGTCAATTGTAGCCTAAAAATAGTTTTACATAAATATGTTTTAAAATCTTAAAAATGGTCTATTACTAACAATGGTTTGTGTTAGGATTCTGTTTACACTGCTAATCTATATAACATAAAATTCGATTACATTACTGGACAGAATTTTTACTAATGAATTTATTTAAGTAGATTTATTTATATTAAGGTACTTTTGATCAAATTCTTGTGTCATTTAAATTTTTTAATTAAATATTGGAAGTAAATATAAATGTTTAGTAGAACAATGCCCTATCAAGAGGATTTTATTTTAAGTATGCAAATGGTGACGTTGTAAAAATGTTGATATTGTGGCACTTGTCTTAAAACATGACATGATATTCTCGATGTATGTTCGTGCTAAGCTCCTGAAATTCAAAGGATTTATTTTTACGAGGGTTGTTGGTCATCCTTTGCCATCCCTGGATTTTGCATGTCAAAACTGACATTCTTATATTATAGTAAATTATATTTCATATAATTTTAAACATTTAAATTACCATCAACCTAACTTATTCTGAAATTAAGTATTTTGTTCTAATATTTAATTTATTTTATACTACCGCCGATTTTTTCGTTCAATAATAATTTTTTTTTAAATCTTATTAGATATCAAGTTTATTGAGTTTTTAAATTGATTTATGTTTTTTTTTTTTCGATTTTGATTATCATAATCAACGTTATCATAACGGTACTGATTTTTTTATTTAATTTTTTTTTTTTTATGTTATAAGTTTATTTAAATTGATGGATTATCATTTTATTTTTATAATATACTGATATGGTACTTTTTAACGGCATTTTATTCTAAAGGAGACATGGAAAAATGATTTACTACCCCATAAACAAAACTTGTATCTTTACCTTAATTTTTGTTCTGTGGTAATATGATACACCTGAATACCTTTTCGTAATTCCATAAATATTTTCTACTTGTGAATTAGAATTTCATTACCAATAAAATTTGTCTACATCTTAAAAACAAAAAAAGTAATATTAATAGACTTAACTATTTTTAAAAATATAAAAAAACGATTACACTTGACATAATTTTAAGCTAATTATATTAAGGGTGTCCCAAAATGTTCTGACATTCTTATTACCAGAATACACTGAATATATTTTATTTTAAAGGTAGGTAGATTTTAGGGGTAATTTCGAAAGTTAAATAATAACCTATTATAGTTTTACTATTAAATCAAGAATGGTCTAAATAAAATCTTGACTGGTCAATAAACAGTTTTGTAATATTATTTTTTGAGTTATTAGCATTTAAAGATTTAGAAAAGTGAAGAGTGTGGTAGTGTTTAGCAACGCTCTACATTTACCATGACGCACAAATATAAATTTTTCAATATTGCTCTCCCTTCTCGTCTATAACTAAAAATTACGTTAACTCTGAAATGTCACCACTATTATATTTTTAATTGGTCATTCTTTTTTAACGATTCTTTTGTTATAATATTTATGCTAAAGGCATTATCCTGTATAGCCATGATAGTTGCCGTTTGTTTGATATAAATTACTTATATAATTTGAATAAATTTAATAACTAATTTGATAGAACCACACACTGTAGTCCATTACTAAAATTGGTTTATGATAAATTTCGGTTTTCGTTTTATTGCTTTTGTATTCAATCATTATTTTATTAAAAAAAAAAAAAGTAATAACTTTAATTAATTATTTTTTTAGCTTACACAGATCATTTAATACCAATGCTGCTTCCTCCAAAGACGAGGTGGTTTCTTAACCTTTTATTTACACTACGAGGTGGTTATTGCAATGACAGAGAGTGAATTGTTGCCTACGATGATATATTGATGTGTAATATATTTCACATACGATCAAATCGTTATAATTTTAATGAATAATAGTTATTGAATGATAATAATTTAATTTATTTTGTAATAAAAACAGAGGAAAGAATCTGGTTAAGAAATTTGCATACGCGTTTCTTCAAATATTATAATACTCTTTTTGTTCTACTTTCAAGAATTTCTTCTAAATAAAAACCTGTTAATGACTTATAATCCTATAATGTATGATACGCCATGGAAGAGTAAAATCATACATTTTACTTTTGCGTTCAAATAAGTTGAAGCTTAGCAATGACTAGACATTAATATATTACATGGTAGTTAGGAACGAAATAATTAATCAAAATAATATTGAAGGACATCGCCTTTTATAAAAGGGTCGCTCTTAGAGTATGTATTGTTGTATACTATAGGTCGTTATGTATAATTAATAATTCACACTTAATTAGTCAGAAGATATTAGGGTTGCGGTCAGAATATTGTCGAAACTTGGCTATATCAACAATGATAACAATACTTGACGTTCAAATTACACTAACCTTCTTCCATTTTGACAGCTTTTAATCTTAAAAGCATTTTCACGAGGATATGATTTTTTAAGTGTATTTAATATAAGATTTTACCTATTTATTCAAACTTTAAATAATAAATATAAGTATTTCCCTTGTTATTAAATATTTTTAATTATGAATTTTATAACCATAAAAGATAACAAATTAGACATTATTACGAAATATAAGTGTACACAAGTTATTATTTTCACAAGTCCAAATATTCATACGTTTGTAAGAATTACTAATAAATGTAGTTCAACGATTTAATAGTCAAAAGTAGTTTTTAGTGTCAGTATTTTTATATATATTACAATACATAAATTCAATAAATGACTATAACACCAAATATAAAATGAAATATGTTTTGTATTTTAATGAATTGTAATAATCCAGAAAATTTACTAATTATATCATAAATACCCATAAAATCATAAATACATCATAAAATGTTAACCTTTTACATTTTTAAATTTCAGTTCACGTTTTAAAAAAAATTATATAAATCTTTACCCATTATCTCTTAATTTGAACAGTTGAAAAGAGCCTATCTTTTATGTCACCAAATGCACAATAACGAACATTTATTGAAGCTTGATCAACTACACCCATATCTTGTGTGCTATTTACATATATGCTAAATTTTTGTTTTTCAATTTCATTATTTATATTTTTCATTGAAAGAAGAATCCCTTATATACTTTATCCATTTTGTCTTAATCAAAAGAGTTATTAAAGACTCCGACCTTTTTTAAGTGTAATATTATATTTTTGTAGTTTTTATTTCCTGATTTTACTTTTTATTGTAGAATCTGCAAATTTTTATTTAAAATTCAATCTTGCCGTGCAGAAAATTATATCATTTTAAGGAAATTTTATTTTTTTGTTATTAAATCATTTATATTTGCCAATATTTCATTTGATGCATGTCCTCTAATTGGTAAACAATGAATTTTACAATATCAACAAATTTTTTTCGTTAGATGATTATTTTTCTTTATTTATATTTTTTTAAAGCAATTAAATCTTTAAAAATTGAATAATAAATAGTCATTTTTTTGGAAGCTCAAAAATAATTTTAAAATGCATTACTGTTGCCAAAAAAATGTTCATGCCGTTCAATTTTAAAGTAGACATGACTGAAATTTGTAAATCCTACCTCAGGTGAAAAGTTATTTAAAGAATTTAAAGCCGAATGCAATTCAAATTGAGCGATATATAACTTTCTAAGCTATTATAATTCTTTAAAATTAATAAATAGTTCTAGTTTATTTTTTTGTTCAAATATCACATCAATATTCATAATATGTATACATTATTATCGCATCGAATTAATAAAGTAACTAAATTTAATATATTATATCATATTAAATTAAATAAGAATAAATCCACACTTTTGTAATCGAACAAATTTAAAATAAGTAATATTAACAAATATTTCTATTTCTTAGAAAAATACTTAGTTATGAGTACTTCAATCATACCATCGTTAAATATTTTGTAAATAAAACTACAAATAACAGTTATTTATATAAATGAATCTACTAAAATATTTGACAAATCGTTAACGAGTCTTCAACAAAGTCTTATTATTTATATTAAAAAAAATATATAATATACAGGTAGAACAGATTTAACTTTTAATACAGTTGTTGCTTTAATTTTTTTTTTTTTTTTTTGAATTTTTAGACTACGTTAAAAGCATATTTTTCATCGTTTTGTTGTGTAATGAAAATTAAAAAACTATTTATTTTAATTTTTTTTTTTTTGTAATATTTAAATAGCCATTTTTTAGTACATACTGTAAAATGTTGATGGGTCGACAATAACATTAGGATGAATACTTATTGAGTTACAAGCATTTTAATGCATAATGGGTGGAATATTTGTTTAAAAAAAAAAATAATAGTAATAATAATAATAATAGTAAATTTATCTATAATGAAATCTGAGAATGTAAAAATTGTAAAAATAGAAAGTCTGCAAAATTTTAATTGAGTCAACAGTTGCTAGAGTTGTCAATTATGTATGTTTCTCTTAGTATATATAAAAGTATTATCTACTATTTTAGAAAACTAAAATGAATTAAAATAAAAAGAATGTGTTTTATATAATTTATAATTTAAAGTTATTTAAATAAGTTGATTACTACATTATTATCGTGTTAAGTGGATTGAGAATAATATTTGGACAAGGGCACTAGAACACAATTGTGCCCTAGTGTCAAATGGCATAAAAATGTTTTTAGAAAAAAATGTATCTTTAAGGAAAATTCAATGCATTGTGCTTTATAGATTTTTTCCCTGACTCCGCATTTAGACGGTGGTTAGTATAGTATAAGATCGTAGAAAAGGATCGTAATAGTAGCAAACGTTGCGTTAAGAGAAAATAGGGTGACGACTGACGATTTAGTATTGTGTAGTCATCATGCTTAACTTCCCTCTTTCCTTCACCGAGGTAAAGTTGACTGATAGCCGGCCGTCGTCAACATGTGTTGCTGTTTTGTTACCACCGTTACTAAAGACGTGTCCAAAAATGAAGGAGAAAAGGACGTTTGATATGAGCATAGAGTGTGTGCGAGTTTGAGACGATCCTAGACGATTGTAGATAGATTGCCGACCATCAAGATGAACACACTCGTTGGTCCATTGTTGTTGCTTACGAGTTTCAGTGAGGTGATGGCGTTACTAATGACGTCCATCCTCTCTGTAGAATAAATATGTTTATACAACAAGATCTCATCTCGTTCTTATAGGACCAATATATTTTTAAATAATTTGAAATGAAAAAAAATTCATGTCATTAATGCTCTAACTTATAAATTACAATTACTACACTATAGTGTAGTAGTGTATTAATGGATTTATAACAGTTATTAATATCTGTTATAACATATTTATAACAGTTTATAAAATTGAGATTTTATCAAATTGAAAATTTTATCACATGACTTCTATTTTCATTTTATATTGATAAATGACACCTATTTTGTTGTCTGTTGCTAAATTTTAATTACACTTAATTTTTCACTAAAAGTATATTGAAAAATGGAGTTTATTAAATGACTCGCAAAAAAAATTGTCTTGATAAAATGAATACTTTCTTAGATTTGTATTAACACCAAAGCAATACGTTTTTTTTCCACGTTTTGATTTATATTTCTCTCTGGCCGATATGATTCACGCACTAAAAAAAACCTTGTAACTTCTACAAACTAATTACTAATATACACCTAACCATGTTATAAATTATATTTTAGTGGAAAAAAAATATACGATTATTTGTATTTCATTATATTTGGTAATTTTAGAAATCCTTTAAAAGAACCACGACCAGATGCGATTGTGAATGAAACACTTCTGTGTAAAGAACATAAAGGATTACTATTTGAACCTACGTCGTCAATTTTTTCATCTGATCAAAATCCGTAAGTAAATTTTTTTAATTATAAATAAAAACCTTTTTTCCAAAACTGTTAAAATTGCTTGTTTATTTGTGTGAGATATAATCAACTTGTTCTACATTACAAATAGTTTTATAAATCTATTTTGATTTAAACAATTTAAATAGAAACAACTAACATTATTAAATTTAAATTGGATTTTCAAATAAAAGGACAAAAACCCATTTAAAACATGATATGTTTTTTATAACTCTTATAGTGTCTAATATAGTCTACTGTTTACTTAGGGGTCAAGTAACTACCATTAAGACACTATTATAATATTTTGGTGGTCTGTTTAAAATAGTTTTTAATAGCTGGGCGGGTTACTTTAGGTCTTATCGTCCAAAGGGGTATTTGTAGAATTGAGCTGAGAAATATTCTTATTGGTCGCAATGGGTGAGTAAGAGTCAACAGTAGTGGGTAGTTTCTGCGGTGATTATGCAAATAGACCATGTGCCTCGTTTACAGCTAATATGCAAATCAACCGCCAGCCGTATTAGATGTTTTTGTCAGCTGCCGTCAGTATTTAACAAATTATCCAATTAATTAAATATTATCGTTATACGCCCACTAAATAGTTATATCCAACGGCATACTCATCGGTGTTCCAATTAGAAAGTGAATGCTTGCTACTCAAATTTCTAAATAAAGTTGAAATTTAAACTAATAAATTACTGAATAATTGTTGAAACTGCTTAAAATTTAGCACTCCTTTACAAAATATATCAGAATAGAATATTCTCCACAAAAATTGATATCGTAATATTTTTATTTGGATGGTAATAAGTGAATCTTAAATTTGTCAAAATTTTGTTGTATTCTTTCCTAGTAATTAATGAAACATTTTTACTTCTTGAATTTCATTACATTTAAACTTGTTATTTTTTCTCTAACTGTATTAAAATTTTTATAATAATTTGTATATTCGACTAATTATACACCATTAGAAATGATAATAAAAATAATAATCGATTAACTTATTAAAGTTACCTCTAAAATCTGCCCTTCAAAATCATTTTTGCTTACAATAAACTTAATATTTAAAGGATTTATAAAAAATAAATTAAATTTTAATTTGTACATTTTTATGAGATAATATGTAACGTACATGATATAATGTATATATTAGGAAGTCTTAGCTTATTTTCACAAATTCTATAACTTTTGATCAACGAATTATATTTTGTGACTTATTAATTTAGATTAATTAGTTTTAGACTGCGTTAAAAGCATATTTTTTATTATTTGTTTCTAATAATAAAAATATTATTATAAAAAAATATATTTTTATATATTTAGATTTTAGTCAATTAGCCGATTGGAATTGAGTACAGTTCAAACAATATCCAACTCAACCCAACCAATCGTACTGGTGTATGTACAGTCCGCTCCCGTAACATACCCCTCTATGTATTACTTTAACTTCAATAAGTACTTTTTCAAAAATTTTTTATTCGATCAACCGTTTGAATTTTAAAAATTTTAAATAGAAATAAATCATTAATTTGGTTTTCATAATACCGTAGCCAGTTATAATCTGCTGGGCTACAACACCAACCAAATTATAAAAATATCCATTACTCCTGAAAAACTAGTTCAAGAATTGTTTTCGACCAGTCATTTTCTTAATGTTTCGAACTATTTTCTAACTTTAAGATATTATGTTATAAATGATGTTATAAATTTATGTACTATGTATTAAGTATGGACGTTAAAAATATTTAATTACTTATAAACCTTGTACATCTTAATTTATTCGTGCTTATAGGCATAATATATTTGTTAGCATAACTAAAAGTGTATCATTGTAAAATAAAAACCTTTTGTTTTTTATAAAATTATTTTTTGAAACGGTAACTACTTAAGAATAATCATACTTATTGAGTTACAGTATGTAAAATGAATTTTTCAACTCAATTTTTGAAAAAGTTTGAAATGTCTGAAAACGTTAATCTATATTAATTTAAATTTTTAATTAAATTACAATATTTAAAAAAAATCCATCTCATGATTGTTTTACTATAAAAAATCATCTATGAAAGTAAAAATTATTTTATTTTGAATTTTTAAAAACCTTCCAAGATATTTGACGACTTTTATCCTAGATTAAATTAAAACTTAAAAAAACAAAATTCTAAAAACCAGAAGCATTATTTAGGAAAGACTATGCGTGGTCCGTGGTTAGGTGGATTAAAATATATTTATTTATTTCTATATTTAGGTATTCAAAATAGTAATATAATATAATATTAATAATTATGTTTATAATATTCTAGTAAAGATGGTGTTAAATAACAGGTGCCGATTCAGTCAGGCTGTAGGGGTGGCAGCCACCCTCTTTGACTGATATTATATTTATTTATTTTAGTTTCGGGGTAAAGGATTTGTTGTTCATTGTTCATAAATTAATTTTATATAATATTAAAAATAAAATAAAATAAGACTAAAATTTGCACCGATAGCCTATAATTTATGTCATTATCATTTTTTTTATCTTCCTAAAAATGAAAAATGATAACAAAACATTAGACAGGAAAAATTAACACTCTATTTAACCATATACAGAGTTTTCAGTAAGTAAGGAAACAAATCAATTGTTACAAACAATTAACCTGTTTACTTAGTTTTTGAAAATTCTATATAACGCTCGTGTTAGGTATATTTATTGATATTAATCTGTAATTAGTAGTGTAATAGTCGCGTTTATAAAAAATTTTAATGTAAGGAATGGAAAATTTTTTTAAATTCAAATAAATTTTATAATATGTGTTTTTATGACTCTTTTACTTGCTTTTTACTGCTTCTTGCTTCTTACTCCTTCTAAAAGTATCATTTTTAGTAAAAAAATTAGTTTGTCCTTTGAATTTTGGCGGGAAATTACGTTTCTCTACCCCATGAGGTGTATGAAATTATTTTTAATTGCATAAACTATCGTCAATGATTTTTTGGGGAAAATTTTTCTGCTGGTACCTATGAACATATGGAATGGATACGACTTAAATGTGAGAAAAAATATCCTTTACTAAACATAGGTATTAACTGTATATAACTATCTAATGGTGGTCTTATATTTATAAGTAATTAAACATTTTTGTTAAAATGAAAAAATAAAATCATTTTGCAATATAACAAAATATTTAAAAGAAAAATCAGTACCGCAAAAAAAAAATAAAATAGAGTCAGTAATATCGATATTGTTGAAAATAACGAATTCCTAATAATCTGTAACCTTTATATTAATAGTTTTTAAAAATAACTTTGATTATTTTACTCTTTTAAATTGTTATATTACATATTTTATGTACGATATAGAATAGTATTATTAACCAAAGAAGAATGGGAAAATCTATCAAGTCGTTACCCAGCTGACTATGGAGTGTATTTGTACTTTGGAGAATTAGGAGAATTTAAAACATCACGACCAGGTAAATACTAGAAAATTTTAATATTTTGAAATTGCCATGTAAATGAGTTACTTACCAATTTTTTTAATTTGTAACTTAATATAAGTTATTATATTTTTATAAATAATTATCTCATTGTGTATACTTTTATAATGTTATAGTTGTTACATTTTAAACTTTTTAAAATGTTTTAAACGGGTACTTAAAAAATACATGTTTTTAACAACCCTGTATAATGTAAAGGTATGAATAATTAAGTATAAAGGTTAATTTATAATTAATAAAAATAATCTAGTTTTTTCTTGTTTAAATTATATTTAAACTATTACTAATTAAATCTTAATTTCTTAAGTTTTAACTGTTAAGTTTAATTTTCATTGGTTTTATTTTGTAACCTTGTAAAATACTCTCAAATCCATTTCCTCATGCAATTTTAGTATTTATGAGTTATTATAATTAATAAATCAAATTGAAAATAAATCTCTCGGTAGGTTATGTCTACTCATAAAAAATAACTAAGTATGCCAATAACAATGCTATTCAATTTTATAAATTATCTTTAAATTTACTTTGATATAGTAAAAATCTATGGTAAAGCTTTTTTTTTTTTTGTAGTATTTTGAATAACTAATATGAAAAAAACAATTGCTAATAAAAGATAGTAACTTATGGGTTTTAAAATTTCAATCTTTAAACACAAAATATATGTGAGATTTAAATCTGTTTAAAAACATTTTAAAACAATATGCCAATATCATATCATTTTTTTAGTGTTTCATTAGAGTGAACTACATATGTTGCAATTAATAAACGAAAATCGCACATAGATTTGAATAAAACGCGATATAGAAATAGACAAACTTATCGACAATATATTGAACAATAATTAAAATCGAACATTTACTTGTTAGTATTAAATTAGATAGAGAATATACAAGTGATACTTTTATCATGATTCACTTAGTCATTCAAAAAATAAAAGTAATATTGATGATTTTTTTATCAGTTCTTTTTTATTTCGTGTTTTTTCAATTTATCAATCATGAAGTGCATTTTATATTCATCGCTTATACCATATGTCGTAACACAAAAGAGTGCCTACTTTATATTTTTAAATCTTATGTATTTAAATAACTTAACTAAGTAATGACTGATGCTCTGCTATTTATTATGCTTTATTATCACTAGACATTTCTTGGTCCTACTTCTTCCTAGTATAAAAATGTTAATAACTTCTGAAATATTGGTTCAAAATTATATCTACTGTATTTTTGAAAATTTTATATTGACGCCATTATAAGGTATAAGCGATAAAAAAAATGCATCTTGATTGATAAATTAAGAAAAATACGTACCTTAAAGAAACCAATGAAGAAATTCGTGATAAATGAATTACCTTATATATGTTTTAGGATTGCACTTTGTGAATTATATAATACTATATTTAAACAAAACGTTAAGTAAATAATCAACCAACAAATTCTATAAATCAGTTATTTCTCTTATACGACAAAAGTTATTTACGTGACTTAAAAATTTTTCATGATATTAAAAAAAAAAACAATAAAATGAAAATCGCAAAAGTAAAATTTAAAAATGTTTAATTTTATATTATGCTAGACAAAAATTTATGAAAACATATTTATAATATTTGAAATTAAAATTGTTATCAAAAAGCGTAATCAGTAATACATGATATCAATAATTGTAAACTGTCGTTAAACATTATACAACTAATAACGTAAAATAATTCTCATTAAAAAAAAAAAAAAATTCTTTCAAATGTTAAATTAAAACAAGTTTTAATCGTATATAAGTAAAAATATAGTAATTTGCTCATATTAAAATATATATATTATTCCAGTGAATTATGTTTCGATCCCTTTTAATATTAACGTTAAATGAAAAAAATTAAATAACGTTTTATTATTAAAAAAATTATATATCTTTTTATTTGTCAAATAACGTTAAACTCGATTTAAAAATGACGTTTTAAATATATTAAAACTTTAAAGCATTTTTTTTTTTTAATCAGAACCTTGATAAAATGATACGTAAAGAAATTATGGTAACATTATACCAAACAGACCATAACATATTGCAAAAACATGTTTTATGACGTTGCACAACTTTATTAACAAAGGGGGTATTAATAGTCCCAAAAGTTGTTTTTTTATTAATTAAAATTGATTAGTTAATAAGAGTTATTTCTTGAATTAATTAAACAAACGTTTTTTTCATTATTATTATTACTATAACGAGTTTATTGTAGACTAATATTAACATTCTTTACATAAGAGATTCTTCCCAGCACAATATCAATAATTAATATCTTTAAACAAACATTTTGTTATAATATTTCAGATTATTGTATAAGTGAATGCAAGAAAAACTTAAAATAATACAATAATTATATATTTTACTTTATCACAAACATTTTTTGTTAACATATTCACCCAAAAGACAATGAAATTGTTTATGCAAACTTATACACATGAATTTTTTTAATAATAATAATAATTTTTTGCCATTAGTAAATTAGCAATTTATATTTGGAAATTTAGAGTGTAATCAAGAAGAAAGGATTATTTGAGAGAAGGATAAAAGGTGGTTAAGTTAGTGTGATATTGTAATATATTTTCATTTGGAACGATCCCAGGAGAACCCAAAACTTTGGTCCGAACTTCCTTGTTTTTTTCTTGTCGTCACTGCACTCCCATTGGGTTTCTATATTGTTTTTGCAATCCTACAATTAATATCTCACGAATGCCACCCGCAGTCTCTACAACCTACTGAATTTCAATTCAGAAACAAGGAGACCATCGTGCACCATATCTATACTTCAACCACTGTGTGTAGTAATGGAAGCAAGAAACTAATTCATTTAAGAGATATATGTTAGCTTGTCCTTATGTGTGTATTATATATGTGAGACGTGATGGGAATGCTTGTAAATCATTAAAAGGTCACCTAGTCGTGATGATACGCCAAGGGGGTTCGCCGGACCCTGTTATCTGACTGTATGCGCTGATCATGTTTGCGGCGAATTCAATTAAAGATATGGAACATAAGAAATCATGTGGTTTGCATGGGGTTGCGTATTAATCGGCTGGGTCATTTTACCCCTTGCCATTATAGTTGTATACCGTCTTGTTGTTAGAACATTTAATTACAGTCCAATAATTAATTCACAACTCACATAGAGTAGGAAATTTTCAAGAAGTTAAACATAAATCACGTGCTGCATTAAAATAACAATTAACATAAATATATCGTGTTGTGAAACTTGTCCTTCTCACGAAATTATTGATAAATAACATGAATTTGGAGTCTAAATTTTATTTACTTAATTTAACCAATGATTTGTGATGCAGATAAATAAGCTTAACAATAATTTTAAAAATATGGCTAAATTAATTTTTAGAACGACTGAATATTGAAGTAATCAAACTAAGGTCACTAGGTTTAAACCCAATTTTTAATAAACATAATAATCTCATACATTGATGAGTAAACTGTAGGATTATTAATTTATCTTTTCAATAATTTTTTTTTTTATCTAATTCGTCACGAGTTATATAAAAAAAATGGAAAAACAATTATTTAATATAACTACTTTAAAAAATATTTTATTCGTTTTAATAAATTTTAAATATATTGAATTAGTTATTTTAGCATACATAATTGAACATTTTGTTTTAATATTCAACCTGACTTTTTTCATCCTACATCAAAACCCTAAGAGTCATTCATCGTGTTTAATGACCAGTTGACAAATTAGTGGTCTCTCCCCTTCGTCTTCAAGAATGGTCGTTAAGTATATTTTTTAAAGCAAACTTTTTCAGTACTTATTTCTTCAATTCCAAGCAGGTTGAACAAAGCTCTGACAGTTTAATTAATGACTAAGCGTTTGTTGCCTTTCATATAATTTAAAAAAAAAGATAGTTTTTTTTTTCAAAGGACAAGGTCAGATATTTTGGCTATTATAAAAAAAAATATCTAATGATAAATTTTTTTATTAATATGTAATAAATTAATTTTGTTTTTACTGTTACTCTATGTATTAAAACATTAGTATTTTCTGGATAGTATGTTATCTTCTTTAAATGATTGTTTTTAATATTACAGAAATTTGTGAACCGTGTCGTAAGAAAATAATGGACGATAAAAAACGTGAACAATTAAAGTATAACAAAGCAAAAGTTTTTATAAAAGTTATCGAAAAAGAAGAAAGGGAAGATAGCTATAAATTTAATGGTTTCGATGATAAGGTAAATTTAATTTTTGAAAAGTAAAATGTAACTTTTTATTTATTCTCATGGTGTAAAAACAAGCCAACTTCACTAATATTATGAATAATATGTGATTTAATTTAATTATTATACATTTTTTCTTGTAATAATTACGAGATAATTTTAAGACTTGATCGTCCTAAATAATCCAATTTCATTTGTCTTTTTCCATATCTCATTTGCCAATCTTTTTTCATTCTCTAATCTAATTTCTCAACAACTATTATGTTGTTATTATAATTATTTATTTTAATTATAATTGTTAAAATATCAATTTTTTAACCAAGAAGAATTATTTTCTGAAAAATGAGTTATTTTTAAACGGTAGAGAAGCGCGAGCTAGTCCGCCTCTGAGAATATAAGTGCATACATGTATAACACTAATTTTTGTATGTGTTATGTTCTAACAATGGCGACCAGTTAAATCGTCTCCAAACGATGTAAGTTAATTTGTCTAATGAATTTATCTGACTTTTCATTAGAATCCTTAAATGTTGAAACGCACTACTATCACGTCATGTAAAATATATCCATGATAACTCGTTGAGAATTATATTGTACTGGGCTTATAAATTTATGAATAAAAATGTATAAAATTTAATCATGGTGATGATTATATTTTTTTAATCATCATTTTAATTTTATGATAGGTAGGATTTTCAAGTGATATCTTTTACAACTTAACTTCTGAAAATATTCCAGAAATACTGAAACTTTTGTATATATCCTAAATTAAAGATTATGTAATATAATTTAATTAAAAAAAAAAAAAAATCATCTATAGAATTAATTATAAAAAAACCGTAAAATTGGGACACACAGCGGTTGGGATGAGTATAGATCGGTATCGGTGTGTTGATTATCAAGACATATTGTGTATTAATTTATTCTTGAGACAAATTAAAAGATGTTCGATTTGATTATCAGTATATTTATGATTTCATTCCTAACCTTTAGCCTATTAAAACGTACGATTTTATACATTTTTATTAATATTTAAATACTTTTTTTTTTTTACTTGTTGGTAGTTATCTCAAAAAGAGAAAAAATCTAATTGCAGACTTGAAATCAACATAAAAATGAGATTAAGAAAAGTGTATTCTGGTCTCTGATAAAAATTCTTTGTAAACCAATGCATTTATTTACATAATTAACAAAAAAAAAAATTTCTAAAAAGTTTTGCATCAAGACCTTCAATTTTTACATATGTTTATCATAAAAGTAACGAAATGTGCTACTACTTTATAACTTCTCCTAAAAATTTCAATATTAAATTATTGAATATCTATTCCATACTAATTTGAATTACTTTAATAAGTATTTATTCACCAATTATACTTATAACTCAAAGAGCTACTAATCAGGATATAATTAAGGAAATAGAAGTTCATTTTGCTTTTGGAAAATTCTCCAATTTCTTAAAGTTAAACATTATCTACACGTTTGCATTGAAGCGTTTATTATGATAGTTATTTTAAATCACTGTCATACATTATCTATACCTGTCCCAATTATGCCACGTCTGCACTGTGCCCCTAAGTTAAAATTTTTCTTTGTATGATTCAAATCATTACATACATTGAGCCAATATTTAACTAATAAAGCAATTTAAATAAACTAATAAGAGTTTTGTCAAATTTGTTTGATTAATATTAAAGCTGAATAATTATTTTGTACAATTTTTATATTCAAAAATATTGTCTTTTGTTTAAATTTATGTTCTGGAACACATAAATATGAAGTAAGTGGTGGTCAATGAATTAACCATTTAACTACGCCCTTAAATGGATTGGTTCGTCCTCGGAAATTGTACACTATACCGCTTTTGGTCGTTGTAAAACACCGTTAATAATAATACATTTTATTTAATGTAAATTAAACATTAATTATTTATTGACAAAATAAAATCAACGTAAATTCAGCTTATAAAAATATTAATTTAATTAGGATAACAATGTAACTATACATAAATAATTAACGCATTAGAATAATTGTATCATATTTTTGTTTGTAACGTATTGAACTCTAATAATCTTAAATAATATTCCATACTAAAGAATCCGATTTAATAAAAATATGAGTAATGATTAATAATATTCAATAGAGTATAATATATTCAAATTTTTATAATTTATTTTAATGGTTTTTTCGTTTTATGCATATATTAATTTATATATTTTACAACTCTATAATCGACTATTTCTAATGTATAGCATCAATAGTTTTCTTAATTCTTCTCTATTTTAATAAAAATGAACAACAAATGAATGGGTTCCTATTTAAAACTTACAGTTGTAATAATGTTATTGAATGTTTATTTTTCTAAAAAACGCATATGTGACTGGAACACATAATTATATATTTAACCGTTAAACTTCCCAGACGACATTAATAACACCATAAGCGTGTATATCCTAGATTTAAACCAAACATATAAATTGCGTTTTGAAATCTTTCAACAAATCAACGAGTTATAATTATAATGAAGTCATGTACAATATAATCACAGGCAATGAGAAAATACTGCCAGTAGAAAGGTAATTTTGCATCCCAACAATAATATTTATTATTGTAGTGTTAACAAATTTACAACACCTGCACTGTCGTGGTCGCAATTAGTGGCTGTGCCAAGGGTACTACAATAAATAATTTTTTTTATCAATAATTAACAATAAATATAATTAATTAACAACTTTTTTTATATAATTTGAAACGTCTTTGTGGTTAGTTTTAAAATAAATAAAAAATGATAATAAGACAAACCGAAAAATGATATTAATTATAATAGTTTTTCACATGGGTTTATTTATTCAGTTACTACTACAACTAAAAAACGTCAATTTGGCCGACTCAGAGATTTTTGAAAGCAATTGCATTCACTCCCAACTCGTATTAGTTTCTTTCGTAAAAACATCTCTATTTTAATATATCGTAATAAAATGTCTATATATATTTTTGTATTATTTCTATGCATAAAAGACATACATTTCAATTCACTTGATGCGTTAATGCTAAATTTACATAATTATCTTATCTAAAATATACGATTTTGAGCGGTAAATATTTTTTTACCTTTTTACCCTTTTTTTAAGAAGTGTTGTTCGGCAATGGAGATTTTCCAATTTATTGACATTCAATTAAAAAAACACTTAAAGAAAATAAATTTCATTATTAAAAATGTATGATAGTAAATTTATGTGTTCACTATAACTTTTATAAATATTTATGATTAAAAAATAAAAATTTTATTTTATTTTNTTTATGATTAAAAAATAAAAATTTTATTTTATTTTTTAATAGGATGAACTTTGGGGTAACTGTTCGAAAAAAATGAAACTAGAAACTAGTATTAACGGTAATGGCGTACCTATTGCTGTACCAACTGATGTACCCAACAACTCTCTTGAATTAGGTATTAGAAGAAGTGCCCGAAACAGAAGACCTAGAGGTGAACTAATCGTAGTATCGTCGAATGAAACTTTACTCGATCTTAAAATGAAGGTAAATTATAGTAATTTTACATCATTTTAACTGTAATACAAAACATTAAAAAGAATATATTAAATTTTAGCTTCAATGCGAAGCTGAGAAGGTATTAATTTTAGTATGATGTTTTTTTTTTTGTGGGGTCTGTTACCACTCAATCTCAGCTCTCGCCGAACCAATTTCTTTCAATGATACGTCAAAAGATCACAAATCGTATCTAGTCGAAGACATTACCCTCAAAAATTGAAAAAATTATTCTTGTTCTCCGTAAATAGGGGAAATAAAAAAATAATTACAAATTTAAAAATCGCTAATTTTCGAAGTTTTTTCAATTTTTTGTACTTAAAACTGTCATAACTTTTTCAAAAATTACCAAATCAATATAATTTTTTTTATAAATTTGACCCTTTACCTCTCCACAGGGGGGGATACAAAATGACAACTTTTTAAAAAAAATCAACTTTTGAAAGTGTTTTAACTTTATTTTGTCTTTACAGTAAAATTTGCTACCGTGTGCTATTTTTGTGTTAAAATTCTCGATTTTATATTTTACATTTTTAACTTTATAATGCTATAACTTTTTGAAAAATGTATGAATCAATACAATTTTTTTAAGAGAAATAATATTTATATACCTCTTTCATTCGACATACTTTTTTTTTGGCTTTTTTTAATTATTTATATATTTTTTGATTTATGAATTATTAAGTTCTTTTTTGGTTAATCCTTTATACCTTATTAAGGTGTCAAGTAATTTTTTTAAAAATTATACATATTTAACTATTTCAGAATTATTCTAATTAATAAAATGACCGGTCGGTAACAACTTATAGACCAGTACTTCGGAAGTTATAATAATTTTTTAATGTAAATTGGAGAGGAGGTGTCGTTTGTGTAATTATTAACATTGTAAATTTTACTGTAGTACTATTCCTATCACTTATGTATAAAAATAGTAATAATTTTCTAAGTACCTATCCAAAAATTATTATCAACAAGTCATTTTGTTAACTAGATTATTTTTTATTTCTAAGCTAGTTAAATATGTATGTTTCCTTTAAAAAAATTTAAGTTGGCACTCTTATAAAATGTAAAGGATCAACCGACAAAGTACTTTATAATTCATAAATCAAGAAATATATGTAACTAAAAAAATATATATTTATATTACTGGAGCTATTTTTATTTTCTAAGTAATTGAATGGATTATGATAACGAATAACTTTGTATACTGCCAGTTTGTTATATGTCGCTGTCCAACCTGTTGTCTGTTAAAATTATGTCAGATTACAAAGATTTTAACTAATTGCTGTAACTCTTTGTGTCATCTTAATTAGTTAAATTGTTTGTATCAACTTAGTAATGCTCTAGGTATAAATCTGCTTGAGAAATGGGAATTCAGATGCGATATGTGTAGATGTGCTACTTTAGTGTGTCAAAATCGTTATCATAACGATATAACTGTAACTGGACCTTTAGTTGGTTACTGTGGAGCAATAGAGAGGAAATATTAATGACGTCAAGCCGGACCAAAGGACGACAAAAAACAGTTTACCGTTCTATTATTAATCTAAAACATTCAGATGAAGGTTAGGCGAGAGGGTTAAATGACCGTAAGTGCTGGCCCCGACAGCAAATCCCCTAAAAGGCCAAATAGCTTTTTACTGCGAAGAAGTCACCCTTTCTCGTCCTTTCCCTTACTTGTCACGAAATCTCTCGTATATCTTTAATCATAATTCAAAGGTTTTACACACATTATATTTACGCAAGAGTGTATCGGACACCAAGAGAGCGTGATTAACTGCCCCCGTGATATTGTAACTGTGTGTTAGAGTGTAAACTTACCCTTAGTAAAATGTACACCTTCTCTCAGCCTATCAACTAAATTGGCTGGACACTGGATAACACTAAACCCTTTACAGTTTTTGCGTGCTAAACTTAAGCAAATGTTTTTTCTTTGTATAGTTCTTTATAAATAATAAAACAGCTGTGAATGAATTTTATTTTTACATTCTTTTCATATTTTTAATTCCTCGCTCCGTTGTTTTATTTTAGAACATTTTTAGCTTAAAGTACAATAAAGGACTAATATAGTTTCACACTGTCAATACATACATATACTTAAATACAATAATAATTTTGTGGCGGATTCAGGAGGTAGACACAGGGGTACGTGCCCTCTGTCAGTTTTTATTCAATTATTCTTTTTAAACGGCTATCATTCAAAAAGTTATTATAAAAATGGACTTCCTTAACCCTTTTAGACCTTTGGTACAATATTGTGTACTCATCATTTTTTAAAATTTACAACCGTAGTTTTGAAGTGAGAACAGTACTTCCAACACCAAAATATGCTAAATTATAAAAGCAATAAAACTAAAGTATAACTTTTAATAAAGTTAAAAAAAATACATTTTAACTAAAATGAAAGTAAAGTCTTTAAAGGTTGAAAAATGTGATTTAAAAATAAGTTTATCTCTACGTAACTACAAGTATTATTTTAAATAAAAAATACAGTAAATTAAAAATAATATTATTAAGAGCATAATAATGTGCATTCAATCTGATAAACTTACAGTTACAACTTTAGTCATACCTATATAGCTATTATATAATTATAATGTAAATAATTTATCATGATTAAAATTTATATCAAGACTTAAATTATGTGAAGTACAGAGGACTCAGTCCTAACTCCTAACCTTTAGCGATGATACTTGCGTATCCTTTTAAAATAGAAATCTTGATTTTCTGTTTCTTTAAGCCCTGATATAAAAGTAAGGAAACAGGTCAATTGTTACTAACATTGAGAACAATAGAAACCCGTTTCCTTACTTACTAGACACCAAATGTACGGTGTTCAGTAACTTACAATTGAGGTGTGCATCCTATGAGTGTAGTTTGAAAGATTTATATGTTGGGGCTACAGTCAATTTTATTTCATAAAATTGAACCTGAAGAAGAGTGCTCTACCATTTTGTATTATTATGTGAGGTGTCTTTTTCATTCAGAATTTATGACATGTTCTCTTGTTTATAAGAATTTTTTAGAAACAAAATGTAATACTTATTGTATCAAATTATTGACCAGTGTATCATTTTAATTGTACCAATCATTCGTAAACTAATTTTCTTTATTCATACAAATTATTATATTTACTAGCAGCAATTAACTATCCTTAACAAACTATATGAATTAATATCAATCATAATTATGCACGCCATATACGTTTTTGATATAATTAGTTTAAAACAGTTTTTATTTTTTTACTTTTATCGAGCTTATTAAATATTTGTATTACAATAATTTTTTACAGATCATGAGTGCGTTCAATGTTATGCCTAATGATCAACATTTAAAAACGGCTGAAGGTGTTCAGTTAAGCGACAATGATGCTACATTAGCTGATCTTTCAATTCTTCCGGACTCGCTAATTTTAGCTAAGGTAAACTAATAGTCTATTCAAAATTTCATTCTTAAAAAATCTGCAATGGTTAAACCGCTGCTATATTTTTTTTTATAAATAATTCATAGTGTTCTCGATAGAATGTGTTACTGCCTAATCCATCGATTTATACATAGAATTTACGAATAACTTAGCCAGGGTATGTCTATATCACAACTTTTTTTTCGCGTTATTTAATTTTAATAAAAATGATGAAACATTAAAAATAACCCATACATTTTTGGAACAACTTATGGATCATTTGTCGTGATTGTATGGTACAATAACAATTAAAACTTAATTAATAATATTTTTAATTTTTCTTTACTTGTGATATTAAGACTTTTGTATAATTTACGAAAATTAAAAAGTACCAAAAATTGACTTCTATAAAAAAAATAACTAATCGTCTTGTTTATTTAAATATCCAAAATTTCAATAAATAGTGAATGGTGAATTAAGATAAAGGATTTAAGCTTGTAAAAACTGACCATATAAAGCTCAATATTTATAGACCTTATCGCTGACATAATATGCAGTTATTCAGTGATTTATATGATTCATAAACTATTTTTGTCAAATAAGTCTAATGATATTTCTTTATCTGTCAGTTTTTTATAAGTATTGTATAAAAATTATTTATGTGAATATTAACAGAAGTTTTTAATTCTTTTTTTTTTTCAAAATTTGTAATTTCACACATTTTTATAAACGTATATCACTTTTATTAAACCTTAAATTATTACTTGGCATGCATCTACGTGACATGACTTGCATCTTATGTATAATTTATACTGTTATGATACAACAAAAGTATCTTCACCGATTCACCTGCAGTAAATTAATATTATTAACGATACAATGTTGTAATTGTTGTTATAAATATCCAACATTATTATTGTTTAAAAAAATGAAATGAAACTGACATTATAATGATCAAGTTCTGTTTGCGGCAGCTGAATAGGTTTCTCAATTGAAATAAGCTATTTACTTAAGATTTTTTCAACGAACTGTTATTCGCTTTTGGTTTTTTATACACTTACATTTATCTGTTACCCGAGACACGTGCTCTGTGAATTACCAGGCTGTTTTTTTCGTCTTAATATCCAGAAGTAGTAATTGTCCGGTGCTATATCTACTTATACATATTTCCCTTGCGTTGGCTGAAGCTTGAATAACACCTGCTTTCATAAATATATATTATAATTAATAGCAATTAACTGATTGAAACATCCTTACTTTTGTGAAAAATATAACATCTTAGATGTATTTTTATGCATTATAGTAATATTTTTTTATTACGTTGATTAAGATTTAAATTTTGGTTTAAAAATAATGTATTTTTATATTTTCTATAGTAAATTATGTATATCATTGTGCATTAAAAAGACAATATGCGAAAATATATAAATAATGGTAATAATGTTGAACTTCTGTTTTAAGTTTTACAACACTTAAAATATGTGTATGTGTTATGCATTTTTGTATGTATAAATAACTTTCAATAGTTATTCTTACTTTTCTGTATCCAACGTCCACAAATTATTCTTATAAAACCATTAACTAGCAATACAAATATAATATATTATATTGTCTGCTAAAATAATTTTTACTCTCAAATTAGTACATTAAATTATCAATTTGTTTTTTTAATGTGTTGAGTTGGGTTTAACATTAAGCTGATATTTTTTCAAATTTTAAAATGTATCATATAGTTATAATTTGAGAGAGACTTTTTTACCTCTGTTTGAGCTGATATTTAGCCTTTTTTGAGGTGTAGTTCGATTTACATAATTTTAAGTTCCACCACGTGCTTTACGCAACAATGCAGAACATAGGACGCTTAAGATATCTCTATTATGATGGTTGTCTTATGGTACTGAGTCAATTTTTAAAAGTATTGTAAGACATGTGCGTGCAATAGACCTCCAGGCTTGTTCCCACGGCGTCTACTTGTCACCCATACACATGTGTCTTACCGTTGCTTCGCTTCGTGATATATGAAGTGTAGAACAAAACCGTTCACGCATCAGCGCCATGTGTAATACGCTTTAGTCGCATTCTCGACTGCTATGATAATATTTAATTATAATATTTTATTACTACAAGGTGGTTAAAAAAATACCATTTCTAAGTAAGGATAAAATTTGAATGACTAAATTTGAAAATACTATCGATAAACTTGAAATTTTCTTTCTTTGTAATTATATTTATATGATGCATGCTATTGTTAAGTAATAAATTAGCTTATGAATATACGTTAGTTTTATGAATGTATGTAACTATGTAAACGAATGACCTAAACTATTGATTAGTTTAAACTTCAAAATACATTACTTCTGTATTATATTAAAATACAAAGCGATTAGATTAGTTTAAAAGTAATGTATTTTACTAAATATTAAATGATATATTATATAAGATGTTTAGTAGGTTGACCTGTTTCCTTACTTTTTAAACAAACTGTAGGTTATTAAATGAGTATTTATAATCTATACAATTTTGTAAAGAAATAATTATATAATTTATTTCTTATACAACATTATAATTAAGACATGAATAACAAGAGTAGGGATATACTGAGAAACAAGGCTTTTATATTTTATAAATAAATAGATATAAATATACTTTATGTTTTATTAATAGAATATTAATATACAAACTTTACATTTTGCTGTTGTAACATAAAATCTTCTCCAAGTATGTGTAGAAAAATTATTTATCACAAAAAATTAAAACATTTTTAGTTTGATGAACCTACTGAAGATTTGCCGGATTTTATTGTTGAAGAAGAGGCTGGTTTTAAAGGTAAATTAAGATAATTTTTTTTTAGCTTTAATCATATGACATAGAACGTTCCATAATAACTTTTAATATAACTGACAGAAAGATGATGGAATGTGAGAAAATATTTTTAACGTATCTTAACACTCATTTGTTCTAGTAAGGGGACTCGATGAGCTATTATTATTTCCATTCGGATGTGTGTTAGCTTCCTGACTTCTACACATTTGTTTTATTTTTTGTTTTTTTCACACGCATTAATACAAACACATTAAAATGTAATAATTTTTTAAATAAAATATAATCGTTCTATTATACTTTATCGTATAATTTTCCTTCATAAATATCGATTTAGAGTTAAAAATTTTAAATATTGAACGATTGTTAATGTTTTATAATTATTTTTCATTAAGTATGCAGATCAATGATAGCTTATTGTATAGTTTTAGTTTTTATTGTTAAAAAATATTCTTTAAAAGATCTGGAACTTGTTTTATAGAGGGGTGATTGCTTATGGTGCAAGGTTATTTTATGCAAACGGTATTTATGTTATATATCAATAAATAACTTTTTTCGTGTACGTTTTCAGCTCTACTTAAAAATTGTTTTATCGTTTAGTAATCATTTAACAATTTTTTGCCAGATTTAATATGGGTAAATTTTTTAATTATCAACTTACAAGGAGTTTGGGAACTAAGTCTCAACTCAAAAACTCAGGAAAATTTTATGTATAATATAAAAATATATATTTTTAGGAATAGGTTAGCCTACTCTAAATAAAATTAGCCAGTTATATTTTTTTTCAAACTCCGCTTATGATAATCAACCACTCAATTTTAATTACCCATTTATGCCAAAGAATAAATTATTTTTATCGTTGTTTTAAGTGTACACATTTGATTGTATTTAACGTGGTTATATTTGTTTTAATATGTTATTATTATGTCATTCATGACGATGACGGATCGCGGTTGCCTTGTCACTACTGGCTACTATACAACTTCCAAAAACTCATAATGCCAATCACAGTGATAAAAAATAACAATTTGTAATGTTGGTTTTCCATATTGAAATTATTGTTGTTAAACACTAATTCGAGACGGTCTCCCGCAATTACCGCAGAGAACTTGATATAATATTGTTATTACCGTCCACAGGTATATCATCATCATTTTGGGTTGTTGTTTCCGGTCAAAACCGATTATAAACTATGGCTTTATTTTTGGTTGGAATTCGTATGGGTCACCTCACTGTTAGTGAACATATTATAATCCTTATTCTCGGTTTTATTTATGGCTAATTATTACTTAAAATTCTATTGATTTACTTGTATAAAAGTTCCAATGTGTAAATTCTAAATTAGTCCTTAAAATTCTATAATTATACTAAATATTTCTCTAACAAAATTCTATTTTGGTACAAATATTAGATTCATGTGTTTTTTTAGGTACAGAACTTATGAGTTGATGTCGAAAAAAAGAACAGAATTATTTTATCATAATTTATTGTGAAAAAGAAGAGGAAAACCTTAAAAAATATGGATTTATATTTATTCTATTCTATTCCAATGACAAAACAATAAATTGTACCTACTTGAATATTTTATCTTTGTATTTTGTCATCCTGGCAACTTAAGAAAGAAATTTATATGCAATATTTTATGCACATATAATAATATATCGTTATTGTAAAATATTATATTTTTAATTTATTTTGTGTGTTTTTTTTTAAATAAATGTGGCAATATTTTCACCCAAGAAACACAAGCTGTTAAGTTTAAATAGTAAAAACTTATATTAATAACAGACTATTTTAAGATATTTTTTTTTTATTGTATTATTATTATAATTAAAATTTTTTACATGTTCAATTTTATTTGTCTTAATCACAAAATGAAGTATTATTTGAATTCAGTTAACTAGGTATTTATTGTTATTTCGTTTTTTTTTTTTTTTCGTAGGGAATCTTAATTTTTTTGGGAACGAAGACTATTTTTTAATTTACTAATGTTAAGTTTTACTTAAAATGTGTACAAAATAATATAGATAAAAAAATCTATGATTTTAGTCGTTAATTATTTTATTAGTGTATGCCGCATTATTTTCTCTTGCATAAATATCTCACTTGTAAAAGTCGATAACAAGCGTTACGACTCTGTTGTTCTCATTACAAAGTCAAAATATGAGTTTACTCCATTTATTAACCGCGGTTCATTATTTCCTGAGATGATTTATAGTATAAGGTTTGTGTGATGTATATTAGATACACATATTACACTGTTATAACTATAACAAGAGTGAAGTCTTCCAAAAGTTAGAATAACTTGTGGACTATGACAGGGAATGTCGATATGGTGTAAACTTCTGAAGCGTACTTTCAATAAACTCAAGTATATATTTCTACTTCTATACAAGTGAGTGCTATTGAAGAGAATGTTTGACATATGTTCCTCTATTCTGCCACGGATACGTTTGATTATTAGTAAATTATGAAGCTTAATGGTCTTTAAATGATACTAGTAAAACGTTTACGCATCTAAAATAACTATATTCAGAACACTTTTGAACGATATTTTACAAAAAAAAAACATTAATTCATGTTGAAAAAACTGTTCATTAAGTTTTATTAACTAACGTTGTGCGAAAAGCAAGTATTTATAGAAAGAAGCGTCTTAAACATTTTTGAATCGAGGAGGTACTGAATAGTTGTAAATTTTAAGCGTCATGAATGATTTTTAACCGTTAAAAAATTTAGTGAATAATCAGTAATTTGCCATTTAGGTCAACTTGTCTTTAGATTGTAAAATATTGTGAATTCGAAGTTAGCTTATTGTCATCATAAATACTGTTACTGGATAATGTACACTGTCAGCAAGTATGATTTATATTGAATTCGGAAGCTGCCAATAATATCCTTACATTCACAATATTATTTTAGAAAAACTACTAGATTATGCATAACTTTGGTGTATAATAGATGGTGACGGGAAAAGTTTATCTTCTTTTGTTAGTATTCGCCGTGCACGAATGACGTTCCTCCCGAACGCGTTCTACTGTGTCGACGACTCTTAACACCATACACTTAGCCGCGGTATCTATTATACTACACAGTTTGGCCTGAAGCAACGCGACATTCACGGTTGATTGGATTATTATTATGCTTGTAGTCGTTATGTGTACGCATGTTCACTGATGAATGGGCTACTATAATAATATACGCGGCAAAAAAGTGTTGGTCATCATGTTGCGGTGACCGTATTACACGTGGGTCTCTTAGGGGCCTCTTGTATTAACTGCATTCAGTGGTATTTTCGTAAAAAATTACAGAGTGTAAGTCATACGGACGCATATTTACAAGATATACGAGTATATTTTCTTGTACGCTAATCCCTAAATGATAATTGGGTATAGATTATAGGTGGATGTCATGTACTCTCCTAATGATCTTTATTATTTGCCAATAATAAAAAATAAAATAAAATATTTTTTTTTAATTATTTAAAACAATTTTTGGTCAATAACAACTTTAAGAAAAGTACTAAATGAGTTTTAATGCATACTCTACTTGTGATACGTTCTTTTTTTTTAATCATTATAAACCTTTGAAGAGCTAACCTATCAAAATATTGAAAATTTTATAGTCATCTCTTTTGCTTGAAATTAACTTTTGATTTTTAAATGGCAACCTTATGATTTTTATACATTTATAATCGGAATTCAAAAAATAAATAATTGATTGTCATTAGATTAACTTGTTATAAAACAACTTTTGATTTAAGGGATTGAGAAGAAAATAAATTAGTTGATGGAAATGACGACATTATTAGTGTACCGATAAGTTCTACCGGTTTATTACTGTTAAATAGTTCTCAAAAGAAAAAATTGATAAATAAGCTTCTTAATGCATGTTTTATTAATGACAATTTCGCGTTTGAAGTAAATGCTGTACTCTGGTATTAGAACAATAGAATTTAGTTTGTCAATAACAACCACAATTTGAAAATAATAATAGAACAGTTATCATAAACGTTATTAAAATAAAATAATAAATATTTTAACGGTATCTTATAATTAACTTTATAGTTAACCACTAATTATTATACAAAAATAACTTGTAGAAATAATTTTCTGTTAATTCGAATCAATATCAAAATAAAATAAACATTTTATTAATTATAATTAATTAACTATAATATAGTTATAAAAGTAAGCTTATTAATAATATAAAGATAACATAATAATTTTTCTTGTACAATAGCTCCACAAAAACCATATAATAAAAAAAAAATGAGTAGCACTTATATCTTAGGAGATAATGCGTAAGTTAAACCAACACTCTGTGTATAATTATTATAAGTGTTAGTTATAGGCGACAAGGTGCGTAACGTGGAAGAATTCATTTCTGTGCATTACGGTAAAAAGAGCGTCATTAAACACTACCTCAGCTCTTCGTCTTTTCTAAATATTCAAATACTAATATCTCAAAAAGTAATAATATTAAACTGGTTTTCAAACAGTAAAAATTTCATTTAGACCATTTTTCATTTAATAGTAAAATATAATTATAAGTTCCGACCTTATTAGTTTAATAAGTTTAACTTTCTAAAGTTACCCCTAAAACCTACTCTTAGGAATAATTTTTTTTTTACAATAAACTTTACATTTCCAGCGGTTTATAAAAATAAATTTAATTTCAATTTATACATATTAATAAAAAATAGAGGGTATCATTTTTAAAAATCACATTGTATAGTTTGGATGGAATATAAGGTGACGATTGTAACTTATAGTAAGGTGGTCGTTAAATATCGATTTTTAAAATGAGCAACTTAATAATCCACCATGTGTATAACAATATAGTAATTATGTTTTTGCAATTTATTTAATGCAACGATTTAATTAATCATTCATTTAAAATTATCCTTATCCTTGTACTTCTATGAAAGAATTTTTATTTTTTATTTTTCATCTTAAAGCTTGAACTCAGTTATCTACTTTCGAGTGGAGTATTATACTGAGTAGGTAACTGAGATTAACACATCAGATTTTGGGCTTTATTGTAATTATTTTTTATGAATAAATTTTTGAATTAACAAATAAAATATATGTATAAAAATAAAACTAATATATAACTTTTGAAGAATACCTATCATAACGCTTAAAATTAAAAATAATATTTTTTTAAAATATAACTAACTTTGTTATAGTCAATGCAAACCTTAAATTATAAAAGACAACGAATTTTAAAAGTAAGTTACGGGGCGATTATAATATAACCGGTAGTAATTATATCGAATATAATTGAATTAAATTGAAGACGAAAAACGTAGTTAGATACTTAACCGGATTCTTTACGTGACAAGAACAATAACAAACTCTAACTCGAGCCAAAAATTTGTTCTCTTTTGGCGGCGACGGCGGAAATTAAAAAGAATTCTTATAATATAAAAGGGAAAACAATAGGCGGCATATACGTGTCCGTTTACAGTAGCAAGATTCGATTTGATAAATGACTACACGTTACAGTTTAGGTACATACATATATGCTCGTCTACTACTATGAAAACAAATATAAAACGTTCTTAAAATTACATAAAAAAAATGTGTAGAAGACTAAAGTAGGCTTTAGTTTACGCACACACAAATGTATAATATATAATTCACATTCTCGAATAAAAAACCGGTCACTGCTACCTGTCTTAACTTAGCCATAATGACCCTGAATAGTAAAATCTGGACAAATGGAGAGTAACGTCAATCAGTCAATTTCGTGTCACGCATAAATACCAAAATAACTCTAAACATTACAAATAAAACAAACCAAAATTTCGGGATAAAATTCTAGTTGGCTTTTTGTTGCAATTATGGTCACATTTAATATTTAATGCTTAAAAATGATCAAAATATGGTAATATTTATGTAATATGGTAATAAATACGTTTGCCCCCCCTTATGAGTACTTGATTTTTAGAATAAAACATAAATTTTATAAAAATAATGTGATAATATCAACATTTCGAGCTTATCATATTTTCACTGTTAAAAACGAATTATTTTAGTATCTAGTTGCGCTAAAAACATAAAAATTACATGCTTTGATGAATGAGTGAAGTGATTAAAGAAAATATGAAAAGGAACGAACATATAAGAGGGAATATAGGTGTAGTGTCATTCGTGGATAAGATGAGAGAAATTGACTTAGATTGTTTGGTCATATTGTAAGGAGAGGGAAATCAAAAGCTGTAAGAACAGTTTTGAAAATGAATGTTGATGGAAGAAGAGGTAGAGGAAGATCAAAAAAGAGATGGAGGGATGTTATTGAATGTGATATGATAAAGGCTGATTTGTGCGTAGATGTGGGAGATCGTGTCAAGTGGAAGTTTAGAATAAGATTGGTCAACCCCAAATAGTTGGGACAAGAGTAGAAGAAGAATAAAAAGTTCTTTTGGAGGTTTCTTATAGGTACATTTTATTATACAAAACAAATAAATAGACTACCAAAACGTTGATGACGCGATAAACACATTGCAAATTATTTGATTGTGAGCTGTAAATTAAAAGTTGGTCTTATTATTACCTCCTTCCATCTGTGTCATTCAAC